AGAATAGATAAATGAAATATAGAAGTAATTTACCTTCCTTTCAAAGAACAGCTATATATATACAAGAGTAATAGAGAGTGAGAATCTTCTCGAACATTCTCGTAAAAGCACATGTCAGAGTAAGAAAGGGAAACTATGACGCCATTGTACGGTCACAGAACGAAAAACGAATGTCTGATAAGAATACATAGAGCATCACGAAAAGATATGTATAACATGACAGTTAGAGCACTCCATGACCTCTATGTATAATAAGTTTTAATAGTTAAGTGTAAATGAAATATTTTTCCCAACGGAAAACTAGGTGGTACAACCCTTGTACCACCGTCCTGAAAGGGTTAAATCGGAATCGTGTATTGGTAAACAGCATTCTCGAGTACAAATAAATTCCATATAGAAAAAGTCATCGACACATTGGGGTTTTTGTGTTTTTGTACCTTGAGCATTAAGTATTGCTTCATTCGGCGAAACTGTTCCTTGTGTTTTATTTGTCTATATCACCTACGTAATGTGAAGCAAGTGTGGGCTTTTGAAAATTCGATGATGGCATACATTGTATCAAAGGAATATTTTATACCATCGACATTCAATGCAATATTATTCTTATCGTCCTCTTGATAATCATCACTGCAACCGTCATATTCATCGAAATATAACGATACAATATGGTCGACTAGCAGTTCTGTTGAAGTTAATAGTTGGTTAAACAACAGAAACAGTTGATCCGCCAGCTCATAATCTTTGGACTATGGTTCAGCTTGAGTAGTTTCTGAATATTTCTGATGCACTAAATTATTGAACATGTAAAGAATATTATTAACATTTATCATATTTGTGTTGAAAATGCCGTAATATATCACTTTAGAGATCGTGAAGGTTATTACATAATTTATTCCGATCACATTGGTCTATTTATAGGTCGAAAGAGCGAACGAATACATGCAAACAAGAGAGATGGATATGACAAAAAAACAAAGAAATAGTGATTATAGAGATCTGGAGAAGAAAGCATGAACATACAGAGATACAGAATACATACATATAGTTAATATACGAGATCTAGGGTAATATAAAGAAAGCACAGAAAAAACACAAATCGAACGAGACATATAACACCTAGAGAGCAAATGCACTAAATTTTGTTAACGTCGGTGATGACACACTCCGACGTTGAACGGAGATTAAGATATGCCTTCTAGTGTAATTGGCATAGGACATCTGTCCGGATAGCAGAAGGTGCACGGTTCAAGTCCGGCGAAGGGCGTCTTTTTCTAATTTTTGTCTTTTAATATTTTCTTTCAGTGCATGTCCCTCATGACACACATATGGTGCTTACAAATTTTAAGAAATTATTAAGAGAAAAAACCTGTATAGCAAAGCGTGTGTTAAATTTTTGGAAAGTATTTCGCCGATAATTTTTTACTAACGCAGTCTAAGCATCTAATTGTCTCACACTTGAGATAGGTATACTTGACTTAGCAAACCCACATAATTTTCATTGAAATCCCCGAGACACACCTGGAGACGTTTCCTTGTAAGCGTACGACATACGGGAACCCAGTCTCTCTATTCTAGCCATGGTCAGTAGTATCTTTCAATGTTAGTCGCTGTTACCATAATTTCGTTGTATTCTTCCTGCTATTTATCTCGTATAAAATTTGTGTTTTTGTTAAAATAGAAGCTGATGACAAACAATCTGAAGATGATGATTGGGACGAAAGAAAAGAAGGCAGCCTTGAATTAACAAAAACGAAGCAGGCGGCATTGAAAATGTACTATGATAGTTTTCCAAATATTCATGATGTTATAGATGAGACAAGGTCTGGCATGAAGGAAGCAACGGAATTTACGGAATCGATCCTACACAATTTACCATCAGGAGAAATTAGCGAAAAAGCTACTGCATGTCATATATTGAAGAAGTTGTTTGAAAATCGAAATTCATCGTGCTTATTTTTCGATTCCACTCATGGTGGAAACCTTCATGATGCATCCGGACATTTGACTGAGATAGACTCAGAAGATAGACCATTTGTATTGAAGCTGAATAGTAGTGAAGGATTAGGAGACAACATAGGACAAAAAACTGACCACGGTGTGATACGATTTGTGCAAACATTGAGTAAAACTCTTGAACAAGAACAATCTCATCCGGTTATTGAAGACATAAGGGAACGATTATCAAAAGCGCATGAAATCGATAAAAAGTATATTTGTGTAAAAGTCGTGTTTGCCGGCACATTTAATGTGGTTTACACGGTGGAAGATTTGGCATCTCGTGTTGTGAATTCCCTTTCGAAAGTTGTACAAAAACTAAAACATCAATTCAAACAATTTCTGAGTGCAAAAATTCATCCATTATTATTTCGACCGACCTTTGATATATCATTCTTTGATAAACAAGGCAATAGAACATTTTCGAGTTCACCTGAGACTCATCAAGTTGGCCCATCAGGAAACACCAAGACATATACCTCACCTGCAGGATGGACGAGATATGGATTGAAAGTATTAGACAAGTATAAAGATGGAAATAATTGGTTGCATCCATTTCAACATTCTGGAAATTGGTATCGAGCGTTTCATGGAACAGGAAGAGCAGAAGCAGTCGATTTCGGTAATGATAAGCAGCTATTCGACCAGCAATATACATCTGTCGATGCTGTTGCAAGTATATTTGAAAATGGGTTTCGTCCCGCGAGAACCACTGCTTACGGACCTGGTGTTTACTGTTCTCCAAATCCTAAGTTTCCTGAAAACGGATATGTTGCAGTTGTTGAATTGGAGACCCAAAAAGGAAAGAAAAAGTTTGCATGTATGTTGCAAGTAGCTGTGAATCCTATTGGTGTCAAATTTACCGCTGACAAAGACATATGGGTCGTACCTAATCCTCAAGATATTCGACCGTACGGTGTACTCATTAAAGAAGCTTGATCATAATATCATAACTAACTTAGTCTATTCTATTCATGAAATATTTCTTTTCTTGAATACTTTTGTTTCACATTTTTAAACGTTTTTTATGCTAATTCTCTTTGCTGAATGATCTTGAATTGTACCAACTATGTAAACATTGATATGACTATATGATGGTGTGGGTGTGGATGTGAATGGGCGTGGGTGTGTGGATGTGGGTGTGGGTAGGTGTGAGTAGGTGTGGGTAGGTGTGGGTAGGTGTGAGTAGGTGTGGGTAGGTGTGGGTAGGTGTGAGTAGGTGTGGGTAGGTGTGGGTAGGTGTGAGTAGGTGTGGGTAGGTGTGGGTAGGTGTGGGTGTGGATGTGGGTGCGTATGAGTGTGGGTGTGGGTGTGGGTGTGGGTGTGGGGTGGGTGTTGGTAGAAAAAAGACACAGCTACATCTACCCAGACTTACCCAGACCCACACCCACCCATTTTGTGTCTGCAGCCTAACTTTAATCAAATGGCATGACTCTTCTGCTAATTACTGCGCACAGCGACCAACCAGAATCGTTCAAACAAGGAAAAAACAAGGAAATCGTTGCGGAAGTTCGGCCTGGTTTATGGATTTTTCAGTTATCTCACCGTGTTCATATTCATATTCTCTGATTAATTGAGGCATGGAAGAGAACGAATTAGTTTGAGATTTATATTCGCATTCTCAATCGAGGAAACACGAAAAGATGAACGTTAAGTTGTTTCTGAAACATTTTGAGTCTTTCAGAACATCAGGAGCTTCGATGAGCGCTACTACACGTTGGACCTCGTAAATATCGTGACAGCTAGCGACACGACTGATCGATAACATTGTGGTGAGTCTAAGGTAGTACTACAAGACATCCTGAAAGTAAACATCGAGCGAAAATAATCTAGTGTCGATTCGAAATGGCAATGATCGTCATATTCCAACTCGAAAAGACTTCGAATATATGACCATATCTTTCAACGCTGAGAGGACGCAATATGAATCTGACCACAAAAAACCAAAAAACAAACAAAGAACAACTAAGAAAAGCGAACGAAAGATAGCAATGACGCAGAGCAACATGGTAATAATCAATATAAGAACAGGCAATGCCTAGACAATCAAAAAATGCAAAGAATGATTCGCAATGAACACAAACAACAAGATGCATTTCGTTCTACCTAGTCTTCTCTTCGAAAGAGATTTAGGCGCATTTAATATATTCTCTGTGATCTAATGCGTCATCGAGAGTGAGCTTAACATTTTAGACCCATGAGAGGCTGTACTGACAGGTTTTTTACAGAAAAATTAAGATAGTACTATAGTCACAAATAACGCGAAAACACTATTAGATTCAACACTTGCACAGAAATTGTTTTAAATAAAAGAGAATCATATGTCTAGCTCCTACTTTTCCTAGATTATCGTAAATCGAGATCTAATCGTCACTTGAAACCAGAGTTTGGGGACCTGTATGTCAAATCAAATTTCAAGTGTCAAATAGGCAAAGTTTCGACGCACTTACGTAATGATAGCCCTTTTCACGTCTGCTATACCTCTACTGTAGTTGATGTGCTGATGTCTCGATGATTCACATTGGACTGATTGTAAAGCTACAACAAAAGACTTTGTTTTAAGATATTTCGACGCAGATTTCGACAGAAAATACAAGCACCTGTCTCTTGCTTAGGCAGCTTACTTTTGCATTACACAATACCATTTTTTAATTATGAGTTACCTACTTGTTCGGTGCCTTCGAGCATGTGATGACTGTCAGAATAAATTATTGATCATTGCATAGTTCGTTGAGAAAGGGAAGTCTTATACGATTTCATATGTTTTGAAACATAAAAACAAGGTTTCTCAAATATAATTTTCAATGACAACGCCAGAATGAGAGAGATTGAAAAGATAGCTCACAATTTCGTTGCAATTGGGTAGTGATCATATGTAATTTCACTATGAAAATGATACAAAAAATGATTGAAAGCTGTATGCTGTTTTCGTCATCATAATCTACTTTGCATGATCGGGGTGTAGGTGTGGGGTGCGCGTGTGGGTGTAAATGTTGTTATTCTCTTTATCAAGTTCGACACACGCGAGACTCAGACCCACATCCTCACTCTTCATCCTATTATAGTTCTTATCTCTCCGCAGCGAGCGAATTAATCAACCAAAGTCAAAGAGCAAGAGAGAAAAAGAGACAGAGAGAGGAACACACGCATCAACGAAGATGGATGAATTTGAGCGTATAATAGACAATCATTTAAATTATATATATTTCACGATAATCTGAGATTAATGTGAGTGGAAGGGAACAACCATAGCATTCGCATATTAACTATAGAAGAGTGAGTGTTCATATCGGCCCACAACCGGTCAGGCTATCTTCTAGGATATCATGATTTGTAGGGTGTAGGTGTGAGTGTGAGCGTCCATGAAGAGATACGAGCATCTAAACCAACACCGCATGCACATCCACCAAAACCGACCCACAGCCACAATCATCCACACCGCACACTCACACGTCAGACCCATTCAACCAAACGCGCCATCACAACCATACATATTCACACCCACTAGACATCCACAGGATTGGCTTGATTCGAGCCCAGAGATTCTTTCCGAACACAAGCTTTTACGGGAACTGCGTTGGAATCGGCAAGAGAAATCGATTTTGGGAACGTGGTTCGATAAGTCGCAAGGAAGTAGTGGATCCGATCGTTTCTCACCGCGTGTCTTCGACCTGGATATTTCATTTCTTGTATCTTTTAGGTTCATCCTCGAATAAGCTCAAGTAAGTATAATTTCTTTTCAATTAACATGATGTTTTTGTTTGTTAGGTACGTTTGAACCGTGATGTAAAATAACAGGGATAGTAAGCTGATAATTTTCTTTTTAATAAAGTAAGAAATGAATCGATTTTTGTCTATCGTTTTAGTTCAACATCATTAAACAATCATCAAATGGAGTGAGCTGAGCTAAGTTAACTTAATTTTTTTGTCGTTGATTGAGAGAATAGTGGGATAGATAATATAAGTGAGTTATATGGTGGGTCTTAGACATAGATAGAGATAGAGAAGAGAGAGATAGGAGTGAGTTAAGTATCGATTGAATTAGATAACTGTTATCTTACAGATCTTCCGAACTTAAGCATTAAACACCAGCCAGGAACTGTTCTGTTGTCCGTGACACACGTTCGAGCCCCTAGACTCATCGACATATTCGTTGGGATGGATTGGATATGAAGAACATGGATCTTCCAGCGCGTGTATGAGCTTTACGCTCACCACGGTGTCACCAGGATGGTTCCTGGTCACGAGTGTGCGCTAATAAAAAATAAAAAAGATTTCTTTTTCATTGAAATACGATTTTATTCAATAGAAAATCGTTGAACACGATGATTTCCCCTATCAACAACATAGAGATTGCCATGACGATCGAAGGACAAACCATCAAGGTATAAGAGCTGATGTGCTTTTGCTCCTCCACCATGTCCACCCACAATAACGGTGCCCTGTTTCTCTCCTTCAGGCCAACGCGTTACTCGATAATTCCCCGATTCTGCCACATAGAGAGTATCCAAAGTATCGACGAATAGCCCGCTAGGACTATTTAATTGTGTCAGAGCATTCCCATAGCCGTCGAGCCCGGCGATGACACTTCCTTCTTTTGCACCTTTACTCCATTTTATTACACGATGATTCCAGCCCTCTGACACGTAGACGGTCTGGTGCTGATCGACAAAAATGTAAGTCGGATAGCAGAGTCGATTGAGATCAGCAGCTTCATGATTTCCACCAGCGACAAGAGTTCCATTCTTGTCTGCTTCTATTTGATATCGTCTTACTTCATGGTTTTCACGGAGAGAGACATAGAGATATCTCTGATTGTCCATGGCCACTCCATAACATTGGATGTTGTCGATGAGGATTTCTCCTCTAGTTGTGCCACTACGACGAGACCATCTTACAACTCGTCGATTTCCTCGATCACAAATAATAAGACTCTCGGTCTCTTTGTCAATCAGCACATCGGTTG